GGATGCTGATTTGATAATGCTCTCATTAGCCACACATGAAGTTCACTTTTCAATCTTAAGAGAGGTAGCTGGTTTCCACCCCTATCCTTTATATTTTCTTTGATATCCAGTCTGTCAAATGAAGAGTCATCTTACTCATTCCAGGTTATCACTTACCCTGGGCAACAAGAGAAATGTTTTGTCTGTGGACAAACTGGTCACTTTGCTGCAGATTGCCCTGGAAAATCAGGTAGCGCAAATGCAGCATCGGATATTCCAATCCACAAGAAAAAATATCAGGTTTAAGTAGTTTTCTTTATTATCTCCAGAAGATATTGCTGCTGTTGAACAACATGCCATTCTCTCTTACTTTGGGAACTTTCTCATATCTCTCTTATGTAATATTTTTTATAGTTCCTGAACATTTGGATATTGCGAGAATATCTGCAATATGAATTGGCCATTCCAGACCCTCCTTTTGTGATCAATTTTGAGAGAATTATAGACGACTTCGTCTTCCTTTGCTTTTTTGTTGGCAATGACTTCCTACCTCATATGCCTACACTGGAAATTCGAGAGGTGTGTACATGATGAAAGCTTTTCATTGCTTAATTAGCTGTTATACATAATATGTTGGTAGTGTAGATTGTAAAATATAGTAATAGCCCTGTGATAATTGATATCCTGTTTCATGCTCTATACCATCAGGGCAATGATAAAATAGTTTTTATATTCCTTTACCAATTGTTTTAAATTTTTATATTCCGTTTCATTGTTACTTCAGGGAGCTATAAACTTGCTGATGCATGTTTACAGAAAGGAGTTTTCAATTATGGGAGGCTATCTAACAGATTCTGGTGAGGTATGTTATTGGTTGTTTTTTCTTTTCCCACATTTCATTCTCGCTTCACATTACTCATAACTCTATATTTCGTATGAGCTGTAGAAATGGTCAATTATCTTATGTAAACTCTTCCCTTGAACTGCGTTGCTTCTATTTTATCTGCCTACTAATGAATACCTGAACTGCATCGTTTTTTTATTTATTTATTAACCCAATGAAAATCTTCTCTTTTCTACACTGATAGGTTTTACTAGATAGGGTAGAGCATTTCATTCAAGCTGTTGCTGTTAATGAAGATAAAATTTTTCAGAAAAGAACACGGATAAAACAGGTATGCATGACATATACCCTAATTCCCCATACACACGTAAACAACCCGTTGGAGCTTTAGGGAAAGAAGATGCTCATACCCTTATAAGGCACTCCCTCAAAGCTCGTTTTGAGTGAATGGTGCTCTTTATAAGGAAATGGGTTTGTATCATATTCTTCCATTATGTTCAATCTGCATACATTATGGCTAATGGTATGTTGATGTTGGTATCAGTCAATGGACAACAATGAAGAAATGAAACAAAGATCAAGAAGAGATCCATCTGAGGCACCACCTGAACCGATAGACGATAAGGTAAAATAGTATACTGCAGTGTTCTCTCGCCTGTGAGCTGGAGAGATATTTATATCTATATTGACAAGGAAAATTGTTTAATAGGTACAACTAAAATTGGTCTTTCATTTTGGCTAGATTAAGCTAGGAGAACCGGGCTACAAGGAGAGGTATTATGCAGAGAAATTTAGTACGAACAATCCAGAGGAAACTGAGCCAATTAAACAAGACATGGTGAGTTTTACTTCAGTTAACTTTCCCCGTCTCCCTTCTGAATCTCTGATTATTTGTTATAATTAATCTAAAAGTTAAAAAAGGTTTCTTCAGGCTGTGTGCTACTCTTATTTTGTGCGCATTTAGACTTTTAACATCTTATTAACTCTCTCATGTTGAAAGTTTCCAACCACCAAATTTAGTACGTGATATTTGCATAGTTCTTTATATCCTTTTGGAGACTTATAGCGCGATATGAACTACTTTCCTAAAATGACTCCTGAGACAATTGGATTAACATAAACTTGTATATGTGCATTTAGACTCTTAACATCCTATTAACTCTCTCATGTTGAAAGTTTCTGACCATCAAATGTCTGCACAGTTCTTTCTAACTTATTAGGAGGCTTATAGCTTGATATGAACTAGTTTCTTGAAATGACTCCTGAGACAGTTTGGATAAACGTAATCTAGTTATCAAGTCTGATTACCTATTTTCCTTGTAGGTGCTAAAATATGTTGAAGGGTTGTGCTGGGTTTGCCGGTACTACTACCAAGGTGTATGCTCATGGCAATGGTCAGTTATTCCTATGAGAGCCATGCATTCTAATAAATACTGGAATATCTTATTTTATAATAGACTGATGGGTCTCTTCTCGGGAAAGAGGATATTGATGTCAATTGCTGACAAAACCAAGTTGCAAATTTGAAGTGCAAGTCTTTGTTTGCTTACCTTTTCATCTAATTGTTTCAGGTTTTACCCATACCATTATGCTCCATTTGCTTCAGATCTTAAGAATCTATCTGATTTGGAAATCACATTTTTCATTGGAGAGCCCTTTAAACCTTTTGACCAATTAATGGGAACCCTGCCGGCTGCAAGGTTTCTTCCTTTTTTTAAAACCTTCAATATATATATTTGTGCGCCTCAGGTGATTTAAATTGTATTTCTTGGTTGTCGCAGCTCAAATGCTCTGCCTGGAGAATACCGAAAGTTGATGACTAATCCCTCATCCCCGATCCTGAAATTTTACCCTGCTGGTAATTGCTGATGCTGAAGATATATGTATTGTTGTTTTTCCTATATATTTATGATGGACAGTGGACACTCATAAGCTCTCATTCTTTTGATAGATTTTGAGATTGACATGAATGGAAAGCGCTTTGCCTGGCAGGTTCATGCTTTTCTGTGTTATGTGGATATAGTGATGGTGTTATCATACTGATACTATTTATCATGTTCCTCGGCTATTGATGCTGTCTGTTTTGAACTTGATGTGATCCAGGGTATTGCAAAGCTTCCTTTCATTGAGGAGAAATTATTGTTAGCTGCTACAAGGAAGCTTGAAGAAACGCTAACGGTTTGAACTGAAGCTTTTTTGAATATTGTTTGGTCAAATTTTAATTCTTTCTGAAAGATGATTCTTGAACCTTCAGAATGTTTTTTTTTGTTATTTATGGTATAGCTTTACTGCTTAGATTGTTCTAGCCTTTGCCCAAAAAAAAAGATTGTTCTAGCCATCAGTTTTTATGGCAGTGTCTGTAATGACTAGAATGATTAATCACAGTATGGATCCATCTGGCAGGTCGAAGAACGGCAACGCAACAGCGTGATGCTTGATTTGTTATACGTACACCCTGCTCATCCACTGGGCCAGCGGATTCTGCAGTACTACCATTTCTACCAGCACTTGCCACCACATGAATTTATTCCATGGACGATTGACCCGAATTCTAGGTTTGCTTTGATTGTCGAAATTGATAACAAGCTGTGTGTTATCTGAATATCAAACTTGTTCTTAATCCTCAATTCTTTTGTGTTTGTTACAGCCAAGGAATGAATGGTTTTCTTTGGATTAGTGAAAGGAATGGTTTCCAAACTAGAGTGGATTCCCCTGTCAATGGTCTACCATGCATTGAGCAGAACCGAGCCTTGTGCGTTTCTTGTGCCTCACAAGTTAGTGTTGTATGACATTGATGAAGTCTTCATTTACTCACTTAGATTTTCCTCTCCATTTTCCAGAAATGTTACATACCTGTGTCCTGCCAAACACTCTCATATATCCGAACCACCAAGAGGAGCGATCATTCCGGACAAGGTATGATTTCACAAAGGAGTTCGTCGTAAACAGTAGTCCATCTCTGCATTAAACAAATCTATTTGCTTGCATCTCAAATCTTAATGTCTTCTTGCCAGTCTATTTATCTGCTAAATATTCACTGCGAAAAAATGTAGATCTTGACGTCAGTAGATATAAAGCCATTTCCCCCTTTATGGCATGAAGACAATAGCAACCGACGCCGACAATCCCGAGATAGGTAAGGAGATTTATACTGCAGACTGATTTTTGAAGATACAAGTGTAAAGTAGATTAAAGGAACCATATGATATATCTACTGTGCAGGCCCCAGGTGGCTGGAGCTATAGCTGGACCTTCGCTGGGAGAAGCAGCTCATCGTCTGATCAAAAACACCCTTAACATGAAATCCTCTACTGGTTCGGCTTCAGGATTAATTGACCCGAATGGATATTACCGAAATGTACCGGGTAATAACTATTATGGTGGAGTCAATAGACCAAGAGCACCGGGTCCTTCTTACAGGAAAGCTTATGAAGATGACTCGAGCTATTATTACTATGGAAAGTATAACAATAGCTCACAGGGAACATTTAGCAACGGTCCAAGATATCCTGGTCAATCAAATGGATCACAAGACTATAACCGGAACTACAACTCCAAGGCAGTAGTAGAGCAGCAAAACCGTGGTGGACTTAGATCTGGAATGTCTGGTTTATCTATTGACGATAACGGAAGCAGAAGCAAACAATTGTATTCAAGTTACACTGAAGCTGCTAATGCAAATTTGAACCCGTTACCCTCACCACCCACCCAATGGATCGGTACACAACCAGGTGGTAATTTCGTCGGAGGATACTACCGGGAAGGAGTTGGGTACGGTGAAACAAATGGAAAACCGGCAAAGAAAGTAATTTATCAGGCCAAGACACAACCAAGTTATCGAGGCGCAAACATATGAGATAGTAGTTGAGGCACAAGGGAGGGTTCTGTACAGGCGAGTTTCTTTCTTTTGCTGCAATTGGCCTTTTGTATGGTAACACAACAACGTCCCTGCTTCATCCTCTGCGATGAATTATCTTAAATTAAATTTCTAGCTAAAGGCAAATGTACAATGTACGTTTGGACATTTCTTTTGTTATGTATATTTATTACATTAAAACATGTTTAGTCTCTCTAGAAGACAGCTTTTGACAATTGGGTTATTCTACTTTCTCTATTCCTTCTACAGCATTTCTCTATTCTAGTTCGGACCAGCATTGTTAGATTAAGAACCAGGCTATCTTGTAGAAACGATGATAGTATCATATTGATGAGAACAATGGTGTATTGGAACAAAATAAAGATTGAGAAAATATATATAATCATTGGATGAAGTAGCCACTCAAGAAAAGCATAAAGAAGAGTAAAAGAGAGCCAAAGATTAAACCAGTCTTCTGACCACCAGTAAGAGCATTGCCACCAAGACCATATTGCTGATTCTGAGCAAAACCAGCAATCTCAACCATTTTACTCTCAAAGAAACTCTGAGCAGCTCCACAAGTAGGACATCTCCAATCTTCAGGCAACTTATCGAACTGAAAACCCGGTGGGATCGGGTACGATGGGTCACCAGCTGATTCATCGTACTTGTAACCACATGATCTACACTCATAGATACCTGTGTTTAGGACAGCAAACTTCTCTTCCATTCTTCGTTTCTCTATTGTGTCTTCGACTTCATTGGTCTCTGGTTCTTGGGTTTGGTCGGAAGAAGGAAGAGGAGGTGTCGTTGCGGCCGCGTCGTCTCTTGAAACGGCTAAGTAACGAGGATGATGGTGAGTTGGATAAGAGATGTGGTGGTGCAGTTTCTTGGCATATCTGAGAAACGGTGTCGGTTTGATGAGTGAAGTATGGGAATGGGATTGAGATTGAGAGAGAGGGGAGAAGGAGAAGGTAGCACTCGCCATTATTTTTGTGTTTTCACTTCTTATAAATTTTGGGTTTGTTCATTGTTAGAGAGAAGTTGAAAGAGTTAGAGAAAGATGGATGATGGATCCATTGGAGAGGAGAAAGGCATATGCGTCCGTCTCCCTTGGATAAGATTTTTGAAGAGTATTGTGATAACCACGTGGCCTTTTCTCAGTCCTTCTTATTTTGTTTTACTTAAACCCCAAAATGTTCCTCCTCTCTTTTCAATTGGCCCCTAAATAAGATTATAATCTTCAAATTCCTTATTAGGAGTTAATAATAAGAGAAATAATGTTTATACATATCATTAAGGATTGGGAATTTTGGAAACTGACTAATAAAGAGATTTTGTTATTATTCCATTTGTAATTAAAATTGTGTAGTGTATTTATTACCAATATTGTGTAGTCATAAACTTTTTGCATTACTACTTTTAATAAATCCTACATATTAATATTAAATTTTTAATTTTAAAATTACATGCGTAATAACTATATATCTTTTTTTTTGCTTTTTAAAGGTTAACAATGGGTATAAAGGTTAAGTATCAAGACTTATTTGTAGACTTATCAAGACAAGAACCTCAATTATGCAACACTTCAAGTTTGTCGACTAAAGACTTTAAGACTAAGCAAAAGGGAAAACCATTAATCAAGAAAAGTTTACTTATCATATGATACATCAACAACATGCCACATCTACGATCATCTACACAACTCATCACATCTTTTTTTATAAATATCAAGAAAAAGTTATTGTAAATGATAGAGTGTTTTCAGAGAGTATTTTACAAATTCCATGCACTTTCATACTCTTAAGTTCAAATTTCTATACTTATATTTTTAATCGTGTATTTTCTATCAAATTTCCTTAGTTATCGATGCATCATGCAACTAAATTTACATTATTGATGAGTCTAGCAACTAGTAGATATCTAGAGATATTCATATTAAATATGAAAATACTTCCTAAGAAAAATCATCAAAGAAATTGTGAATTTGCAACCAAAAAAAATAGTTTGCCAATAAAAGCAAGGAAAAAATATAGACATTGGAAACCTTTTTGAAGCTTGAATTAACAGAAGTCAAGAAAAGTGTTAGCCCTATCTAAAAAAGCAAAGCTACCAGTTCGGCTCAAGCAAAGAGTTTATATACAACCTACTAACCAACTCTACAAAAGCATAACAAGCTAAACCAAAACATTAAGACAAAAGTGAAGCTTGTCAGAGGAGACCCACATGTGGTATCTCTCTATAAACATTCAGACCAACAGTTTTTGTCTTGTCTCTATTCTCCTTCAAGCTCTTTGCTATCCATATAGCAGTTTCTCTAGGAGAGACCTTACCTGGGCCAAAAGGCTTAAGCAACACATTGAGTTCATCATATCTCCCTTCTTGTAACAATCTAGCACTAAACTCAAGCAACCCCTCCAAAGCATCAGCACGTTGGCGATACGAAGATGGATCAAACCGACATCTTCTTGTATTCGACGATGTAGTCTGGCTTGATGCACCAGCAGTTGCATTCTGATTAGGTGACGATGACCCCTCGCTCGTGATATAATCAGAACCTGATTTACATATTTGAACTGTGCATTTGTCTTTTGTTATAGAACGGTCTGAGATAGAGGAGCTTTTGGAAGATGTTTTCCTTTGCATGGGTGTAAAGAAGATGTCCTGTTCATAAGGAGCTAATGGAAAAATAGCAATCTTATCAACTTGTGGCTCATTAATAGAATATTCTGGTGACTTCACTTTCTGCAAGATCCCAACTGTTGGATTGTATGGTGCAGCTTCTTGAGTTGTTGCCCTTTTCGTGAATGGTAGAGAAGTCCGGCGAGCTGTAGAAACTATCTTGCTGGTGGTACCACCTGAAACTGGATGCTAAACACACAATCATGGTCATTAGTGAAGCTGAGAAATGTAGAGAAATATAGACAAAACAGGATTGTTTGGTAATAGTATTGGCAGCACTATAACATCATCTGTGAAGTGTTTCTTTTTAGCAACTGTAATAAGATGAGGAGGTGAGTAGTATTACCAAGTGTTCAAATCTCCTTCCAGTTTCAATGATTCTTCTTGATGTAACTGAAGTTTTTGCCAGAGGATACTTGAAGACCTTAGATGCACTTGAAGCAACTTCCTTACATATCACTGTTCCTTTACTACTGCTCTCAATTGATAAATCTGAAATCCTACGAGTTATACATTTGATAGAAGATGCAGTGTCTTCTTCAGCTTCTGGATTCAAAGCTCTATCATTCCAGAGAGAAGAACTATGTCGTCTTTCCCCAAAAGCCGGACAAGTGACAGCGGGTTCAGAAAAACGAGCTTTCTTGATTATATTCTTGGAATTTGGTAACTGAGGTGGTAATGTATTGCGTCTCAAGTTATTGAGCCTGAGCTTGACATCTAGAATGTAAGGTTGAAGATGTGGATGCCTAAGTAAATCTGAAGCCTGTGATAATTTTATACTTAGCATAATTAATACATATTGGTAACTAAGTTTATGTTAACAAGCTAGGTAAGGTTATACATACAGATGGTCGAAATTCCGGGTTTTTTCGCAGCATGCTTTTGACAAGACCTCGGCTGAAAACAAGTTTTAGAAGATAGCATTGTAAACAAAGATACAAAAACCAAAGATATGTATGATGAAGGTTTAAGAACAAAACTAAATAACTTACAATGAACCGGAATATTTTGCGGGGAGCGGAGATACAATCGTCTTGTTTATCTTATTAATCAGTGCTTGCATATCCTAACCAAGATGTTTTATTAACCATTATGATGAAGTTGGATTAAAGATGGATATGTATCTATCACACATCAACTTACAAATGCTTTAAATGCCGGCTTAAGATAAGCCATTTCATATATACAGCATCCTGCAGTAAGAAATTCATGTGTCTCATAAGTAAATCATCCTAGGATACATATTTGTCAACACATGCGATATTTTTGTTAAGACTTGATAGATTTTAGAATGATCTTGATTTTCTCACATCAGAAACCGAATCAACGAACCAACTAAGGATTAGAACGAGAGAGCCGCTTACTCTACCAAGCCATCATACCCCCAAACCAGTCCCAAATCACATAACACCCCTCACAATCTATCTACATCTCATATTTATAAAAGACTTTTACACTAGGCTACTTATAATGATCTAGCAATAAAGATAACACAAGACTTTATTAGAACTCTCTACAGTCTTTATATAGTTATGAAGCTTTAGTAGTACAAGCACATAGAGATAAATTACTGCTTCCTAATGTAGCAAATAAGTGAACTTTACAAAACACTACTAGAGACAAAAAAAAAAAAAAAACGCACCTAAAGACCAAATGTCAGATTTAGAACCATAAGGTATATCAGCTAGAAGCTCAGGGCACATATAGCTGGGAGTCCCAACAACCTGACATTTATGAATAAATGATTTTAGAAGTGACATTAAGGAAACACAGTGGCAGATATACACATGATATAATAATTACAGAACTCACAGAGGAAGTGAGATTGTCAGATGTTAGAACCTTGGCTAACCCAAAATCACCTGTAAGAGCAATGATCAGGTTAATATTCAATTATTTCTGAAGTTGGGTTGACAAGAAAATGCAAAGAGAAGCTCACCAAGGCGTATATCTTTCTCCTTGGTCAAGAATATGTTAGAACACTGAAAAGAAATACAAAATATTAGCATAGGAGAAAGTCTTTGGATTATGCAGATAACAATATGAGATTGGTACCTTGACATCGCGATGAAGAATATGGTTTGAGTGTAAGTACTCAAGGGCCATAAGAAGCTGAACAAGCCACTTGCACAGTTTCTAAAAAAAAAAGCACAAGATAAGATTATAGGATGATAACTATTTCTATACAAAGTTCATGAGAAGCACTGAGAAAAGAAATGCACACCTCTTCTTGAAAATGCACGCCATTGGCTTTCTTGATGGCTTCTGCCCTGAAACAAAACAAGAAAGTGAGGCTGCGTCGCAATCTCTATAGTGAAAGACAATATAAGTGAATCTAAATATAAGAAACTAACATGTCCCCTCCTTCACAATAACCTATGACGATGCACACATAGCAAGCCTAAGAGAAAGAATACAAAAGCTTTATCAGCTCAAAAGGAGTGTAATGATATAAACTTTTGTTTAAGTCAGAAGGTGTATCTTACCTTTTCCACCCAAGAATCTTTGTATTCCACAATAAATGGATGACGCATTTTCGATATGAGCTCCATCTACACCCAAGGTAGAGAAACCAAGATCAAACCATATGAAAAGAATTATCATACAGAGAGCATTAAAAGATTCAAAACTGATTATGACAAGATTTGCCAACCTCTTGATGTGCTGATCGTCGAGTCCTTTGAGTTTGCCGGGCAAGACGAATCTTTTTCAATACATATCTAATGAATACAATAAACAATATCAGAAAACAAATGACAAAACTCAAAGACAGCAAAAAGATAGTGTTCCTCACTTTTTCTTCTCATGTTTATGTCTCACTAGAAGAGCTGACCCAAAAGATCCTTTACCTATTTGCTCAAGAATCTCATACTGTTCCATATCTAGCTTTGTTGTTGTCTTACCTGAACATAGAGATGTAAAAAACAACAAATACTAGTGTGATGTTTCTTAATGAGGACATTAAATTTAAAGGATGCTAACAAATGTAATCCCAAAGTCAAGTAAACACATACTTTGGTAATTGTAAACTACAAATCTGATTAAGCAAATTAAAAAAAAAGGTAAAGATAATTACAGCTGAGAACTAGCAAGCATCAGCTATGACTTTAAGTTACATTAGAAGTGGAATTAACTTAAGGCTAAAGAATCTAATTCCATTGATCAACTAAACAACCAAGCTGAAGGATGCATTACTTATATAAGGAGAAGATGAATGAGCATATCTCAATGTTAAAACTAACTCTAAAGCTCAATTTTACAAAGAAAACAAAACTAAGAAGCAAGCAGACCCTGAAGTAAAAAACAGAGGAGATTACAGAGCAAACAGTGTTAGAAGAGAGAGAGAGAGAGAGAGATAATGACCTCAAGAAATCAGAGTAAGAGTGTGACAGGAGAGAGATCTGATGGGAAGACTTAAGGATGCATTAAGAAGAGGAAGAAGTAGGAAGAAGAAAGAAAGCTCTGAATACTGCGAGAGTGATTTGTGGTGATAAATATGACAAAGTTGGTAGAGAAAGTGGAAAAAGTGGAGAAAACTTAGATCCATTAATGGTGGCTTTTCTGTGACTTGATAATTTATTATATAAGCTTTAGTATAGTGATTGTATTAAGAAGTAATGTTATTAGAAAACTTTTACACTGTCGACAAAAAAAAAAAAAAAAAAAAAACTTTTACAAACTTACTTTTTTTTTTTTTAGTTTAATACTAGATTTATACCGCGTGACAAAACTTTTTATTGTTATTTTGTATTTAAATTCTAATTTTTCTATTGTACTGGTATTTGTTTATAAATTATTAAGATTGCATAATATCAAACTTTATTAAATCAATGTGATCCGATATGCTTTATATTTGTGTTGTTAAAAAATAGTATAATGAAGGTTTAATTCGTTTTGATGTATAACATTAATGATATTTTTTTATATTTAGTAATATTGATTAAATCATGTCCTGCCATACAACTTGTGTATAAATGTTAATTTAAAATAACATAATTTTTATTAAATATTTTCATATGTATTTTGCATAACAATACTAACCTGTTTTTAACCCATTTAAATATATATATATATACATACAGTATGTTTAGATGATAATAATAATATATCGATGTAGTATAGTGGTAAAATAATTTCTTTTGTACAAATATAACTCGGGTTCAAACCTTTCCTCGGACATTATATTTTTAAAAATAAAAATTATTTTTTTTGCAATAAATGCATTAAATTTTCTCTCAAAATCCTTGCAAAAATACTATAGTAGATTTAGAGGATATTTTTTTAATGTTATTTTTAATGATTTCTTACATGCATTTCTACCGCAGACAAATCTTTTTTCTAATTATTAGGTTCCTAAATCTTGAACACATATATATTCATCAAGATTTTTTTTTTTAATTTCTTTTGGATTGTGAGAAAGAAAACCAAAAATTGAAAACACGAATATCAAAAGATGAATAAAGATTTAAAAATAAATTGAAATTTCAAATTTTTTTTGTTATTTTATTTTTAGAATTTTATTAGAAAACAATGCTTTACTATTTTCCCCTCTTATTTTTTTTTAAATGCTAAATAGTTTTTCATCATTCTAATCACCTACAAAAAATTTGTAACACCCCGACCATCACTTTTTGCAACGCCACGACCGTCTTCCAGTGGGCCCATGTTCATTATTAGCCCATAGGCCGACCTCTTTTAATGAGCTTCACGTCTTCTCACTAGGCATGTGAGTCCATCCATATTCGACGACCGGTATGCTACGTCCGGGAGGCTTAAAAAACTTGTTTACCGATCGTAAAAATCACCACATGATCTTTCCCTGTGTTTTGACCTCACTCACATAGTTCAGACAATCATTTCCCAGAAGGTCATCCATCCTTGGACTACTCCAGGATAAGCACGCTTTTCTCAGGACTCTTGGTCGAAAAGATAAGTGCACTTTGGTGACATAGGTGACAAATCAATTCATTTAAGTCTCTCCACAAACCAAGGTCCCAGAATTCTCCCCCACTAATAGACCACAACGTCCTCATCCCGGAAAGTCACCCATCTTTCGACTACTCCAGCATAAGCACGGTGTCTCTCGAGACTGTTGACCAAAAAGATAAGTGCACTTTGGTAACATAGGTGGTCAAACCAATTCATTTAAGTCTTTGCACAAAGAAGGGTCCCACAATTCTCCCCCACTAATAGACCGCGACGTCCTCATTGCACACAACAAACGTAGATTCGTAATGAACAAGACAAGCGATAGTGAAATGGCGATAAAGTGGATTTGTGAGGACGTGATGATGATGAAATGAATGACTTGTGAATCGATTGTAACTTTCAATGGTTGCGGAAAGACCAGTGAACTAACAAACTTGCTTAGGCTTGAATATCACACACCAAACGGTCACAAGACGAAGATATATTACACACTCTTAAGATCAAACAATTTGGAAAGAAATTTTGATTATAAATAGTTTGATGATTTCTCATAAGAGACTAAAAAGGATATATAAAAAATAAAAGAAGCTAGTTTCGAAACAAACACACCAAGTTTCGAAACAGCATTAAAAACACCTCGAAAATTACAGAAATTTAAACTAGAGTTTGAATGATAAAAAAGACTTTTCTTCTTCATAAGGACGTGGCTCCTTGGCAAAGAAAAAAAAAAGGGCTTGTGAAAGAGTGTGTGGGCTTGCCTCATTAAAAACCTCTCTTGGAAAACCCATTGGGACAAAACCAAGAGGAGGGAAAAAGAGTGCAAGTCACACACCTCCATTGTTGTTACTTAATCAACTTGAATCACAACCAAAGTAGTTAGATAAGTATCTTGATTAAGACTACCCTCAATCTTGTTTAGAAGCATGATGATAGCTTGGTTTAGTCGCTTTGTCTTGGACCTCATCATCGGACCATTAGGAATGTGTAATGTTGCTTCATCTTTAGCTCCATTCTCCTTGGGTTCAAGCTGCTCCTTATCTTCATTCTCCTTCGGTTCTTGTTGTTGGTCCATTGAGCTCTAAAGGGGAGGATAGGACCTATACCTAGGAAAATAATGAGTCAAGCCTGAAAAGAAAGTCGAACCGCGAAGGCAAGTATCCTCGCCCCCGCGATGGGAACTTTCATATCATCCCCTCCCTCTTCAAAACGATTTGACCTCAAATCTGTTTCACCTGAAATAACGGGCACAAGATCAGCAACATTAAAGCTATTACTCACACTTTACTTGTAAATCCAGTTGATAGGCATTGTCGTTGATCTTCTTCATGATTTGAAACGGTCCATCCATTCTTGGCATCAGCTTGAACTTTATTTCTTTTGGAAATCTTTCTTTTCATAGGTGAATCCAAACCAAGTCTCCTTCTTTGAAGACTACCTCCTTTCGGCTCTTATTAGGTTGTCTAACATACTTCTCAGTTTTCTGTTCGATATTAATTCTCGCCTTCTCATGCATTTGTTTTACTATTTCAGCTTTCTTTTTACCATCCATACTAACTCTTTCACTCAAGCTAAGGCATTAAATCCAAAGGAGAAATGGGATTGAACCCATAAACAATTTGGAAAGGTGAAAACTTAGCTGCAGAATGAGCGGCATGATTATATGCAAACTCAACATGCGGCAAACAATCTTTCCAAGTCTTAAGGTTCTTTTTCATCAAAGCTCTAAGAAGTGTAGACAAAGTTCTATTGACTACTTCAATTTGTCCATCAGTTTGCGGGTGGCTAGTAGTAGAAAACATAAGCTTAGTACCTAACTTAGACCACAATGTCTTCCAAAAATAACTTAGAAACTTAGTATCACGATCAGAGACAATGGACTTAGGCATACCATGCATACGAACAATTTCTTTAAAGAACAAGCTAGCAACATTCAGAGCATCATCAGTTTTATGACATGGAATAAAATGCGCCATTTTAGAAAATCTGTCCACAACCACAAATATAGAATCCTTTCCAGTTCTAGTGCTAGGCAACCCAACAACAAAATCCATAGAGATGTCATGCCATGTATGCAAAGCAATAGGTAAAGGGGTATACAAACTGTGGGGTTGTGATTTTGCCTTAGCCATTTTACATATTGTGCATCTTTTGCATCACTTTTCAACGTCTCGTTTCATATTTGCCAATGGAAATGGTCTTGCATAACCTTTAAAGTTTTAGCCATGGCGAAGTGTCCCATCAAACCTTCACCATGTGCTTCCTTTAAGAAACAGTTCTCTCAAAGAAGAATTAGGAATACACAAGTGATTATCATAAAATAGGAAACTTTCGTACCTATAATATTTTCCAAAAGCAAATTTCTCACAAGAAGCAAAGATCTCAGAAAAATCAGAATTAGTAACATATTGAGATTTAATTTGCTCAAATCCAATAACTTGGCATCAAGAGTTGTAAGAAGAACATACCTCCTTGACAATGCATCAGTGACAACATTGTCCTTGCATTTTTTTGTATCTGATGACATATGGAAATGTTTCAATGAATTCAACCCACTTGGCATGTCGTTTGTTAAGCTTTTGTTGTCCTTTGAGGTGCTTCAACGACTCATGATTAGTATGAGTAACGAACTCCTTGGGCCAGAGATAATGCTGCCATGTTTGTAATGCTCTCGCAAAAGCATAAAGTTCTTTGTCATATGTAGGATAGTTAAGATTAGCTCCTCCAAACTTCTCACTGAAATAAGCAATAGACTTCTTATCCTGCATAAGAACTACTCCAATTCCTACAGCAAAGGCATCACATTCTATATCAAAAGTTTTAACAAAATCAGGAAGAGATAAGACAGTGGCATGAGTAAGCTTCTCTTTTAAGGTCTGGAATGCATCCTCTTGAGCTTGTTCCCACTTGAATCCAACATTTTTCGTGATAACTTCTGTGAGTGGGGCTGCTAAGGTGCTGAAATCTCTCACAAACCTCCTATAGAAACCAGCAAGTCCATGAAAACTCCTCACTTCTCCTACTGATTTTGGACTTGGCCATTCTCAGATTGCCTTCACTTTCTCTTTATCAACTTTAACTCCATCTGTTTAACTCGCCTTGTAAGAAAGCATTGTTCATGTCAAGTTGTTTAATCGGCCATGATTGTCTCATCGCAACTTCAAGTACGACACAAATCGTTTTTGTCTTAATCACCAGACTAAACGTTTCCGCATAATCAAGGCCATATTGTTGAATGTACCCTTTGGCAACTTATCTTGCTTTGTATCTCTCTAGACTCGACCTAGCGACATCCAACAAGATTTTGGTGTGGCGCTGACGGAACCAAATCTGAAGTGTGATTAGAGATATGAGCATCGAACTCCTTTGAGCATGCTTGACGCCAATTCTCATCTTTCATGGCTTGTGTAATCGTTGATGGTTCTGGAACAAGTGAGGAACCCGCAACCAACAAATATCGTTTTTGGACGGGTTTATAAATGTTATTTTTGGCCCTAGTTTGCATCTTTGGATATTTTGGTTTGTGACTCATGTGGTTGTTCGGATTGTTGATTTTGGGTCTGTAGGTTTTTAGTGAGATTCAT